ATCTGCACAGTGTACGGGCTAGACCCCCCCCCAAGTCCAGATGGGGGATTCCACAGAAAGTCATGGAGAATAACAGGGCTAAGATCCTGTGGGACTTCCAGATCCAGAGAGACAGGCAGGTACTGGCCAATCAACCAGACATCGTGGTAGTAGACAAGGACCAGAAGACAGCGGTGGTGATAGATGTAGCGGGGCCAAGTGACAGCAACATCAGGAAGAAGGAGCATGAGAAGCTGGAGAAGTACCAGGGCCTGGAGGAGGAACTAGAGAGGATGTGGAAAGTCAAGGTCAAAGTGGTCCCGGTGGTGGTAGGAGCACTCGGGGCTGAGACTCCTAAGCTGGGCAAGGGGCTCCAACAGGTCCCAGGAAGAACATCAGGGTTCCAGAAGGGTGCAGGGCTAGGAACAGCTCAGATCTTGCGCAGGACCCTCAAACTCCCAGGCCTCTGGTGGAGGACCCAAGATTGAGGAAGACACAAACCACCGATTCCTAGGGTGAGAGGGGATTTTTATTTTGTGTGTGTGTGTGTGTATGTATATACACACAGCCAAAAGACCCAAATAGCACAGCCCAGATATAATCTAAAATTTGGCATTAAAACAGTTTAACAAAAACAATAAATTGATAAATATTGCATGAAATATCAAACTTACTGATGTGTTAGTAAAGACCTTATTTTTATAGCCATGGTGAAAAATGTGGCTATTGCTGCTGTAATGTTAGGATGTTTATCTCCGAGTAAAGTTTTAACCTCTTCCTGGTCTTGATTTTAAAAGAGGCCAGATAACATCCTGCCGGAAACTCTTATAAAATTCATAATGCAATAAAATATGACCCACTGTTTCAAGGTCAGTACCGTTCCAGGGACAATATCTTTGACAGTAGGGGATTTTTTGAAATCTGCCACCGCCCAGGTGAATGCAAAACCTGAATGGCCACTCAATAAAGATGTAGACATAAGAATGGCGTGGGAAGCAAGTAAAGCTTTTCTGTGGGGATTTTTTATACAGCGTAATAGTAAGCTAAAAAAAGAGACAAGAGAAAACCCAGGTGATTTTAGATCAGATAAACATAGAAGAAGAATTAAAGAAATTCCCCCCAAAGAAATTTATTTCTCAACAAATTAAACTTTTGCAACGGCAGCTCTCTTTATTAATGGTAAGAGAAATGGAAGTGAAAATGAATTATGCAAAACAAAAGAAGGTTGAACTTGCAAATAAGCCAGGGAAATGGTTGGCATGTAAACTGAGAATCAGTGTTCCCCTGTTTTCTTCTCCCTCTGAGGGGAGATCTTTGGTCTTGCCCACCCCGTGGGCTTTTTCTTAGCGTGTTTTGTCCCCTGCAGTTCTCGCTCTGCTTGACGCTCCTCTTCCTGCTGCAGTTGGCCGCTGGCATTCTCGGGTTCGTCTTCTCTGACAAGGTAGGTGCCCAAAAGCCACCGGTGCCTGGAAGAAGGGAGTGATAAGGCAGCTTGGGGGTCCTGCTCTAGCCTGCTGACGGGATAGAGAATATGCTGGAAAAAAAGTGTCATGTCCAGGATGATGGATTTGGAGGAGGAGTGGGAAAACATGTTCCCTGTTGTGCCCATGGATGTGCTGACTGCATCTGGGGAAAGCATCCAGAGTTATTAAGGGAGTAAAGGTGTCATAGATCACCGGAAGGCAGGCACCCCATGATTGGCTTCATTCTGAGACTCATCAGAGGTGGGTAGCCAAATGTCATTCTGTGGGGTTCAAGCCCTCTTCCACGAATTGAACTTATGGGCTGTTGCATTTTTTAGGCGACTATGGACAGTGTGTTATCTCTAGTTGCTATCCAGGTCCTGGCCCTGTTGCAGGGAGAGAGATCTAGAACCTGTCAGGATGGTACCTACAGTCCACCTTCCCTTAAGTTCTCAGAGCAGAGCGGTACAGATGCTACTGTATGTTATGCCTCCTGGTTGAACGTGACTAGTAAAGGGTAGCAGCAGATTCTCCTTCAGGCTCAACTCGTGTTTCCTTGGCAGCGTTACAGAAGAAGGTTGCTGGCACTTTCTTCCAGGAGTAAGGGAGTGGGCAGCATATAACTCTACGTTAATATAATTTGTTCAGAAAGTAGGTGTTTTCTAAGCAAGCCAACTCTCTCTCCTTTGTTCCAGGCCCGGGGGAAGGTGAATGAGGTGGTTAGCAACGCCATCGTGCATTATCGAGATGACTTGGACCTCCAAAACCTCATTGATTTTGGCCAGAAGGAGGTAGGGTTTGGGGTGACCAGCAAGTCTTTCTCTGGTCTGCAACATCCAGCAGCTGGTTGGATTGTCCAGTGGAAGAGGAGGGACCAAAACCAAGGGATTGGCCATTCTGGAGCCCCACTCTCGCTTTCAAATTTAAGCTGGAGGTAGGGTCATCCAGTAGTTAGAAAACATGTGAAAACCTGGATCTTTGAAGGACACTGGGAGTAAGGTGTTTTTTGATCATGATTATGGACTGTTGCAAAGTTTTGTACGACAATGCTTAATTGTTAGGGTGGTTGTGTTAATGCTGTATTGTGTTAATGCTGTAAGCCCCTTAGTCCTATTGATTGAAGAAGCATTTGAAATAAGGAATAAATAAATCTCGGGGACTTCTGAAGAATTGGGAGACCCCCAAGCCAGGATGTTTTGCTTTTCCTCATAGAAACTGCCCTAAGTGGAGGGAACAGCCCAAATTTATAGCGATGCAGATCCCACTTTGTGGGATTGTGGATGGGAACACCAGAAAACAGTCTGAGGCTAAAGCAGAGTTGGCCAGATGTCCTTCAGATGTTTGGGACTGCTGCTCCCACAATCCCTTGCCATTGGCTGTCACAGCAGAGACAGATGGGAATTGTAGTGTGGAGAGCACCCGTCTGCCCGCTCTTGAGTTGACTGAGAACAACTTTTGCCAGTTGTTCCCTACCTCTCTCACCTCATTCTTTAGGGAGAGATGGCAACCCTTTTCAGCTTGAAGGGTTGCCTTTACAATTATAGTTCTATCTTCCGATCTATCTGTCCACCTGGAAGTGGTAACATCCCATGAGAAGGAGGGTTCAAAATCTGTTCCAAGCACTACTAGAAATTCCTCTCCTTTTTTTTTTTACATTGGAAGGCTGGAAAAGGAAGTTGGGAGTTTCCAGATTTTTTTAAAAGCAGGAACGCAGCGTTTTTCAGTACAATCCCTTTTCGTCTCAGTGAGCGATCCAGAGCGTTGTTGATTGGAGCCAGAAGCCAAACGTCTGAACTAAAAGAAAGAGAACAGTGCCTTGAAAATGCCAGCGAATGAGTAACGGGCAGGAGAAAGTGCTTACAATGAGCTTCCTGCAAGGAATTGGGGGTGATGCGTGTTTGTACGTTTGCCCCCAATGTGCGTTCTCTTTCCTACCATTTTTCAGGCATCCTGTTAGTGTTTTGTTTTCCGTAATGGCATTTTGTTCTGAAGCTGGGGTGTCACAGAAGGCAGGCAAAGGTGATGGGAGGTGCAGACAGCACCCCTGGGATCCAAGAGGAGGGATTATTGGGCGCGGGAGGGAAAGTGGGGCTGAGATTCCTTCTTGGAGGGGATGTTATCAGCTCTTCTTTTCTGCTGGACGTCTGCCCTGGTGAACATCAGCTTGGCCTGAGAACCCAGCTCCAGCATGTGCCTGAGACCCTTTGCTCCCAAGCTCGTCCCCCAGAGGGCCCCCCACCTGCTGCCCTCCCTTGCTCGTCCAGGCCCCCACTCCTGCCATTTGCAGAGAAAGGGAGGGGGGCTTTCCGACCTACCTGTGCTAGGGCAGCCGCCCAGGGGGATGATCCTATGATGGAGGCATCAGGGTGTTCTGGGGTGAACTGAAGAGAGCAGGAGTCCGAGAGAGGTCGAGGCAGGGCGCGAGAGCTCCTTTGGCACGAGCACTTGCTCTGTGCAGCTGGGCGTTGCTCCCAAGGAAAAGGCCAAGGCTGGCATTCGGTCCCAGCGGTGGAGCGAACCCAGCAGGAGCTTTGCCACCCCACAAGGAAAAGAAACTTCGGTGTGGGTATTTTCCCCGCTGGGTTTGTAAAATGTGGCATCAGTTATTTCAACAGATGGAGAAGAGACGTTGCAGGAGGAGAGATCGCGTACGGACACATTGCACGATGTGCAGCCGGTTTCTGCCATCCGCTGGCACAGCTGGGTTGTTTTCCTGGGCTTCAGGATGTCCCTGCAGAGAAGGGATGGGGAATGTAGCATCTCCACGTGGTTTTCATTTTGGTCGTTTATTGGTAACTCTTTATTGTTTTCTGTTTTTAAGGGCGTGAGCCGCCCAGCATCCCACATGTGAGATGGGCGGCTATATAAATTGAATAAATAAATGTTGGCTCGAGCAGAGGCGCCTTAGGTGCGGGCAGATCACCTCTCTGAGGCCAGTTCTTCTCCAGCTGCATTTCTGCCTGATCTCTCCCTTTCTCCCCGCCCCTTCCCTCTCCTTCCTTCCCTTGCAGTTCAGCTGCTGTGGGGGCAACTCCTACAGAGACTGGTCCCGAAACATGTACTTCAATTGCACACCCCAGAACCCCAGCCGGGAGCATTGCTCGGTGCCTTATTCCTGTTGCCGGCAGTTGGAGGACGAGGTAGGCAAAGCAGAAGGTTCTTTCTGACGGGAGCCTCTTTTGCCCATTGAAGTCCAGGCGGACAGGGAAGGAGATGGGTCCGAAACCACGGGGAGCCACTGCTGGTTATAACTTGAGTTGGCTCGTCTCTCGAAGTTGGGTGGAACTGGCTTGGCTTTGCTTTCATACAGAGGTGGGCAAGCTCTCCAGAGCCCCTCAGATCAGGTACTTCATTTTCTGAAATGCTTTTGGTGTGGTAGAAACATTCTCCCAAGTTCGCTTCTGCACGCACAGTTCTAGGATGTACGCAGAGAGGTGAATTTTCCAGAAAATGTTGAATAAATATGTTTTCTGGAAAGTTTTCCAATGCAAATGATTCTGAGTCCAGTTAGCATATACATCTAAACATCCTTGGTCTGCGCAAGTATTTGGACCATGTTATTTGAGGTGGAAAAAAATTGAAATCTAGCTTTCTTTATGAGGTTTGAATGTTGCATTCAAATAGAGCTTTGCTGTATGGAGAAGCATACTTCTGTTGCACTGTGGGAAACAACGTTGGGCAATAAAACAATAAAAGATCATAGGATCTTAAACTCGCCAACCTTGCCTGAAGTGGAAAACGTTGACCCTGGAAAATGTTCCAGCCCACATCTCTAAACTTTGAATTCTGTAAATTTAAATTCCGGTGCCCTTTTGCAATGGGAGATTGAACTCTGTATGTGTGTGTGTGTAAGTAAGTAAAACATTTTTACTTGCTCTGCAGTTTGAGAAACTCTTTTACATGTTCGGTTTATCACAAATGTGAGCACTGCTTCTTATTACCTGCTGCCCTGAGAAACCACGTGTGATAGTAAAAGTGCAATCAATCCAGAGAAGAGGTCAGAGGATGCTGGTCTGGGGTGTAGCTTTGCCTAGCAATCCTTCCCCATGTGACCGGCTTGTGCGTTTTCCCACGCAGTTGGTCATCAACACCATGTGTGGTCAAGGGATGCAGACTCTCAGCTACCTGGAAGCCAGCGAATTCATCCATACAAATGGCTGCATTGACAGTCTGGTGGACTGGATGCACAGGAACCTCTTTCTCATCGGCGGGGTGGCCCTGGGCCTCGCTGTTCCCCAGGTAAGGACCCAGCTTCAGCCTTTGCCAGGTGCCACACACAGTGGAGGCTCTCCTTATGGAGGGAATGTGATCATGGGTGCACCCCAGTTCAGATTAAACTGTTTTGTTTTTTAAGGTTTGAAGTCTCGTGAGCTGAATCAATCTTGTAAGGCTGCGGTTCCCAAACCGTGCAGCAAACTCACAGGGATAACACAGTGATACTCGACATTTGTCGGACGCTGTGCAAGCTATGAGTCTAGGGGCGCTGTGAAAAAAATTACTGAGACGCTAAGGGTGCTGTGAACCAAGAAAGTTTGGGAATCTCTGTCATAAGCTTTCAAAAACCTGGGAAAGGGTTTTGAGATTCTCACCTGAACCCTTGCGAGATTTCAGAAACACCACTGAAAGAACACAGCCTTTGGTCACCTTGCAAGAGCCCGATTATTTTAAATCATTTGTTAAACCATTACAATTGTTGATTCGTTCAGGCTTCATACGAAGCCTTAACTCAAGAATCATGGACTGGGATCACACCATGTGAAATCAAACCATGCTGATGTGTGGAGCGATGGGCAAAGCAAATCTGTGATGGCAGGTGGGAAGGACCTTGGGAGACAGGGCAACAAGACGCAGCCAAGGGAACAGTCAGATAAGAGGCAGCTGAGCCCCCAGCAGGAATGTGGGTGGAGAAAGAGGCTCAGGAGAGACCCTCCCT